TGTAGAAATGGATTGCATTTTCCTGGGAAAATAAACCAAGATTTATTGACTAGGGAAGTATATTACAACTAGATGGGACTTGAGTAACATCCTCTTTCCTTTTTTTCCTATATTTAAAAAAAATGCTTTGCAATGCATATGTAAGTTGCTTTGATTTTTATCACAGGAAGAACATGTGAAGACTCCACTCTAATATGTGGGCATATGCTTTGCAGGGTGGAATTAATACTAGTGTGCGTCATGGTGGGATATACGTGAAGTCAATTATTCCCAGGGGACCAGCAGATAAGGACGGACAAATAAAGATAGGTAACATGTCTGGCAATAAAACTCTGGGCTGTAGAACTCAATGTTAGGGTGGAATGCTTGCTACAAGGACAGTGAAACACATTTAGGATTGGAGATCATACAACTGTGAAATGTAATAAGCAGTTCATCATCCCTCAGCCTGTCCCTGTACTACATGTATATATTCCACTGAAAAGCCAGGAGCCTCACGCAAACGTTGTACAGTTACTGTCTGCAGCTGCACATTAGGCTAGTGGCTCTGACATCTACTTTCAGCATTGCTGTGATAACCAGATACCATCACTGCATTTACTTAAAGAATACCTTGGGATGTTTTAAGTGCTAGTTATAGAATTCTGTACAAAACATATATGCATGTAAGCGTGAAGATCTATTGCAACGTGGGTAGCCTCAAGGTTTACACCCATTGAACTTGAACATAAAGCAACTTGACCCTTTTGTTTGTTTGTTTTCTTTTGCCTCAGGTGATCGTCTGCTGGAAGTAGATGGCATCAGCCTCTGTGGCATCACCCACAAACAGGCTGTGGAACACCTTAAGACATCTGGCCAGGTTTGTACAACAGCAGAACTCAGTAAGATACTCAGTAGAATAAACTGCTCTTAATATGAGGCACAGTAGCAAAACTGGGCCAAAAGAAACATTCCCCCCCCCACTCCATTCTCCTAAAAAGAAAACTAAAAAGACTTAGGGCTCACTGTGTACTGGAACCTCTTCATCATTGTTTTAGATTGCCAAGCTGGTTCTAGAAAGGGGAAACTACCAATTGGCAAGGCCATGCCTGACTGCTGATGACAGAATTGAGGACCAATGTGCAGTTGTTTCTGTGGCAACATGCTTCTCAGATGGTACAAAGGACTACTGCTTTTTGACAGATGGTGAGTGATAAAAAAGAACTCAGGGTGACTTCTTATAATGTGCAAGAAAAGAATGAATGAAAATAATGCTATGAAATTTCTGTGGGTTGTAAGGAAAACTACACACTGAATAAAAAATACAATGTGCAATACTAATGACATTATCAAAAATCAATTCTGAACAAAATATTTCTGATGTACTCTGAGTTGCTAGATATAGCTGAATTTATCCTAGGCATAAATACTGCATCTCTCAGCCTTCATGACATGGGTCTGGCAGGGGACGTCCCTGCCTGTACGCTGTAGCACTCTCAGGCAGGAAGCAACTGTGTTGATGTTGCCAGTCTGTTACCCAAAGAGAGCAGCACCAGCACAACTGCTGATGCCTTGTCAGCGATGAAGCTAGGGTGAACTGCTGTCCCAGGGCCAGAACTGGAGACTGCAATCACTTCATTTCTTAAAAGCAGAACATTCAGAGATCACTTTCACTGAATTTAGACAACAATTACTGTAAGGCTGTCTCATAAAGACAAAGTCTGAACCATACTTTCCCATGGGGCAGTTAATCCTCTACATTGTCCCTAGCAGAATGTGGTTCAGCTGCAGGAATGGTATTTGGGAAAGGGCTGGTCTGTTGTTCTTGTCTGGTAAGACCAGTAGCTCTGATTCTAGCTTATGCTGGTCAGTGCAGGACCCAAACTAACATCAGGCAGCTACAGAATAGTAAGACCTAACGAGCATTTACAGAAGAATGTCAGAAAAGGGTATCACTGAACTTTTTTACATTGGTATAAAAGGCTTCTTCCTTTACGGGCTTGTACCAGATGCCATAAAATCTGTGAACACATGGTGGAATAGAATCCAGTTCTCTCCATTCTACCTGTGCAGTTTCAAGGGTTCACATAAGTCAAGGGAACACCAAATGCTTCTTTTGCAATTAGTATCAGCGGATCTGCCTCTGCAGCACACAGGGAAAAGGTCTGCTGAGTATAGAATTTACATTGACTCCTTAGGGTGTACGTATGCCATGGCTCCCACTCATTTTACAATCCCTGCTTTGAACAGATAATACATTTGAAGCAAAATTGACAAAGAATTCTGGAGGCCTTGGCTTTAGTGTTCTGCAAATGGAAGGAGATGCTTGCGACCACCTTGGAGGAGCTATTGTCAGGATCAAAAGACTGTTTCCAGGGCAGCCAGCTGAAGAGAGTGGCAAAATTGAAGTTGGAGACATCATTTTAGCTGTGAATGGGAAACCTATTCAAGGACTCGTGTATCAGGTACCAGGCAGTACTGTCGCTCGGACTCCAGATGGGTAACGTGTTAATAAAGACAATGGGATGAAACTGCATTTAAACTTAATTATCACCAAAGAGGGTCAGAATTTGCATATAATGAATCTGATTTCTGTGTAGGATTCATCTCTAGAATTCTTATGGAGAATTTCCTTCCCAAAAGAATTATTAGAGAATTTCTTCTGCTATTTAATTTATAACTTTCTACTAATGATGAGCAAAGTCTATTGTTGGATGCATACCAGTTAATTAGTTGGAATCTTCATTGTGGTTATGCATAACTGCAACATTTTTTTCCCTGTGGTCATTTGTGCTTTGTAATGTCGTGCGAAATACCATGCCCCAGATTCAAATCTCACCAGGTGAGGTAAATCCAATGTAACTTTTTTACCCAGAATGAGAAATTCTATAGTCACAGGAAGAAATTAAATGGTAAAAAAGGACTACATGTAGATTTTTTTTCATCATAATATTTTCATCTTGTGAAAAATCCCAGAGTTTTGAATAGATAAGAATGGTAGCAAAGAAGAATGTTAAAATCACGTAATCTTCCCACTGACAGGTCATTTGTATCATTATATAGCTAGGGCAAAAGACAAGGTGCTGTAAGTCCTAAACACCTGAGGGGATACTGTGACTGTATTCCTTTTTTATTTATTTTCTGAGCTGGAGTCTATCCTTCTCCAGCACCGTCTTGCTCTCTGGTGTACAGCATTTTTCCTCAGTTTGTGCAGAGGGCCAGACAGGCTGTTTTGGCCTACAGCATTTTTTTTTCCTCTCTAGATTAAGTATCACAGAATGACAGAATCACACGATGGTAGGGGTTGGAAGGGACCTCTGTGGGTCATCTAGTCCAACCCCCTGCCGAAGCAGGGTCACCTACAGCAGGCTGCACAGGACCT